GAACGGTGGTAGGTGTGTATATCGATACGGGACAAATTGGACCTTGAAGATTTTGATGTATACAGCAAGACCCAGATAGTTCCTCCGGAACTATCGGATCCTGCATTTTTAAGCCCAAAAACGTACTATTTTCGAGATAACGCAAGGCATAGGGTTCGCATCCACACAATCTTTCGTTAATTGTTATACTGTCATTGGATACACGTTTCATTTCGTCGGCTTGAAGCTTCTATAATCGAGAGAGGAGGAGTTTATATTATTTATCGATGATGTTTTTCACCATATCATCGTCAATTCTTCACCAAATCTTAAGATTGAGCCACCAATTTCGAAGGCTTCCTTCTCTTTAGGCGTGTAAAATAGTCCAATCATCCCGAAAATTCAGGCAAACAAGTTATGAAAGAAAACAAACTTTATTTGCGAATAACTAAAAAATTATACACTTTTCCCTGGATTGTTTCCATAATTATATAAAAGATTACTAAATTCCCTGCAACAGGAAAAAAAAAAATCGAAATTGGACAATTTTTAGCAAAGATACAGCTTATTGAAATTTGTAAACATGTTGGTTTCAAACAAAAATGAAGATTTTAATTAATTTTTGTTTCCTTTGTCGATCATATTTATCGATATAGTAACAATTGATTTCTTTATATTTTGATACGTTGCATTATTTTCTGTTCCTATTAATTTTACATTTGAAAACAATACGGTGTGCGAATTTTTCGCATGGGCCTACTAGTTTATATTAAGGTACATATTGTACAGCTTCTCTGGTATAAATGATATAAATTACAGAGACTATCATTGGCAAAAATCCTGATCTTATTATAATGAAATAATTTTATATAAAATATGAGACGAAGAGCGAACACTGTTCCAATGTTTTATGCTTTTAAATAGAAAAATAAGAGATAAAGGTATAAAATTAAAATTATAATAATTGTATGATTTTTTTTTTTAAATGTATATAATATTATTAACTAATTGAGATACTAAAATGAAACGACCCTTCTACCTGTGATAACTGCAATGTTGCAATGTCCAAAACATTGTGAAACACATTTTACATGATTGCACTACACTGAAAAATAGGAAGAAAAAATTAAATACGGCACCAAATCTATCTGAAAATTTAAAAGAAAACGAACAAGATGTTAAAAAAAACGGCGAAACTATATAATCAAATTTAACATGATAGTGTTGCCAATGACTCTGAATGGTGAGGCAATATAAAAAACAAAATAATTGTTAATTTTATCGATTATAATGTGTTATATTATAGAAATGAATGTGGTACAGGTCACCGAAAGCCTCACTGTGAATAAAGTTGTTTAAAAAAATTATAGAGACTGCCATTCGTAAAAAAAAATCCTGATCTATTATGAACCTGAAAAACAGTCTAAAATTCTCTGATCATAAATAATATAAAATAATCCTTATCGTCTTTAAAATATTTTTTAGGAAGAAACAAAGTTAATAACTTAAAGTAAGTTTTTCGCACCTGTAAAAAACCGTTAAATACGAATTTTTATAGCAATAGAAAAATTAAATTATTTTTCTCAAACTTTTTTCTAGGTTTGACACATCCAAATTTTTACAACCACAAAAATTGCGATAACGTCAAAAAAACTATACTGATCCACACGAATAATAAATTTACAGCCTATATACTCCATGAAATGGCCCAAACTCGACCTCCGTGAACAAATCAAGACCAATGATATAATATAAAAATGTGTTTTTTTTTTTTTTTGTTTTTTTTTCCCACCCCCAGGAATTTCTTTATTACAAAATAAAATATATAAATGTTATATATACATAATTTTTTTTATTTCCTTTTATTGCCCAAGGCTATTTTAAGATTAGAGGGCTATGCACGCTGTATGCATACTTTGCATCTGTGGCCAGAGGCCTTTTATTATATCACTGGGTGTGGAGGGACCTACCCTGGAAATAAAAATGTGTGAAATTCTAGCTTAAAAAAGAATAAAATATACAGTTTATTTTAATGGGTTGGGAGTGTTGGATGAAACGTTTCACGGAATGCCAAACGATTGCATTTCGGAATTTGGAGAAAATCCTGGGATATTATGAATACTTTAGCAATAGATGAAAAAAAAAAAAAATCAATTTTTTGTCAGTTTACAGAACACCAAAAACGATTCTAGCTCGTTATTTCTTTTTTTAAAGAATTATTTACCATAAAAATTATTTACCATGCTTGAATAGGAGTGCTTTTAGTGTTTATAATTTATGATATTGTATAAAAAAAAAAAACCGACTTGTCCATAATTGCCCAGAAATTCGTGCTTAGCAAGGGCAAAAAAATAACGTCCAATTTTTTAATATATACACATTTTTTTTCGGCACCCAAAGCCCATCAGAACGAAGCCGGGACTTTTGTCAAATATTTTTCGATTTAGAATCACCAGAAAAAAAAGTTGAAATCGGTGACCCACTGACTCTAAAATCCACGGGTAATGTTTCCAAATGAGTGTTATTGTTAAACTGTTACTGTATTTAAGCATGTTTTTAATTTTAAGAGTTTGTTATATCTGTAGTTTCTCCTTATTTTCACAGCCAACTTTTAGAGTACCTCCTTGGATTTTATTCGCAAGTTTTTTAGTTTAAAAATTGGAAAAAATATATCTTTTAGCCAGTAGATTACATTAGAATTACAAAAATAAAAATGATAGTGTTTAACTACAGAAAAAACAAATCAAAATGGTGGATGCAACCTAAAAATTAATAAGACTTATCTTCGTGAGCATATTGTGAGTTGGACTCTTCCATTCACCTAATTTAGCAAAGATAGGACTGGTTGAAACGATTCTTTCTTTCTTATTGTGAGATTTATTCTAAAATTTCAAATGGGATTGCAACATGAAACCAGTTAGAGATGATCTAAGCGAGCAATAAAGTAGCAGGAGGAGCCTCCCCGGAGGTACATTAGCCAACCCCCCCTCCCGAGTTGACATGGGCTGACACGGGGATGGCGTGCATGGCCCGGTATGTTATTTACTATAGCTCATCCTTCGATCTAGCGGATGACCCCAAAGTACCTGGCACAGGGGGCACCCTGCCCAACTTTTTAAATGATACCCAGGTCTCCTCCGCCCCATCGATCCCCGACCCATTAAGAACTTTATCAGAGGATGATGGGCTTATTATCAGGAGGGTCTGCGTGGTTAATTGGCGACCAAGGTCAAGGGAATCCCGTTCGACGTTTGGGACTATCTCTAGCAGAAACTAGTTGCCTTCGTTATCCAAAAGAGACTACTTTACAACTATGGATGTCCTAGCGATCTTGCAGGATCATAGGATTTCTTTGTTTCTGAAGTTATTGATCAAAACCGATGTTAAGCGGACCCTACACGGTCATTCGGAATTGCACTAATGACGTTCTGAACTATCGTATAAGGTAGTGAATGAAGTACTGATGGTGGTGCGCTGCGGATTTCCGAACATCCGGAAATCAGAGGTTCATTCACGAGAAGTGGAGGGCGGTCTGAGGTAAAAGTAGTGGGGAGACTAACCATACTACTGGATAGGTTAGGTTACCTAGGCCTCAAGATCATTATTTCTAATTTTCATTATATGTAAATAGTTAAATAATTTTTCATATCCCTTGTTTATAATTTTAAACCATCTTCAACCATTTCTTTTAAATAGTCTAGTGGGAAACAAATTTTAAAAAAAATGAGGAAACTTCACAATTTACTTTAAGAAAAAAAAAACTTTAACGTTGTGTATATTTGTCAGTTCTTTTCTTATTTTCCTCAACAAATTTATTATTTTTGCAATACCTTTCCTTAATTTTTGTAAATAGTAGACTTATATTTTACTAACTTTTGTCAAAACGATTTTCTATGAGACTAACCTTACTACTAGATAGGTTAGTTTACCTAGGTCTCGTTATTAAGTAAATAATTTCATAAAAGTAAATAGTTGTTTATATCCCTAGTCTATATTATTATTAACCATTTTCAACTATTTTTTCTTTAAATAGTCAAGTAGGCAATAAATTGAAGAGAAAAAAAGTGGAAACTTCACAATTTACTTATAGAAAAAAAATCTTTAACTGTTGTGTTTATTTGCTATTAATTTTTCCATTTTTCTTAACAAATTGATTATTTTCACAATACTTTTCCTAGATTTTTGTATGTAGTTGAGTTATATTTTTCTAACTTTGGTCTAAACGATTTTCAGGCACTAGGAAGTAATTATTATACCTCGGTTTTTCTCTTGATACCCAATATTACAAATTACAATGTCCAAATAAGCATATCTATGCTATTTCTTTGTTTACAACTGAGCTAAATTGGTATCAGCAACGATAAGTAATGATCAGTAATGATTGAACGTGTAAGGGTCTTCACGATCCAAGCGATCGCGGACAATCTTGGCACTTCTTGTGACGTTCATTCATGAATTACCGCGTAGAGGGTCTGCTATATTCATATCTGATACTACGGTACCATAACTTGTGGTTATTTGGACCCAACGGATCTCTTAACATGAAGGTGTAAACATAACTCACCTCTCCGACAGATAACATCACTGACTTTGTCCTGAGTGACTTTTTCTCGATTCCTCTACTTTTTTCGGTTTGAATCAAAGTTACCCCACAACGTAACAGGCACAATCAAATAAACCACCATAGGTAAACTACAAACTTTTCAGTAAGTAACTGTCCAGAATACTAAAAAAGCTCTCTGATACATCTGCAACATTACACAAAGCACTTCACATACCAATAGTTACAACAGATGTACAAACTCCATGGTTCGAAACATGGCATAATCAATATGCCCAATAACACAACATAACATTCAAAAGAAGCTGGATGAGAGCTCTTCTCTATTAACTATGAATACTATAATCAAGAAACGAAGGGATGCCGCTTGGCATTTTCCTTCACGCCTCTCGTCGTCTTACTACTATTCTACTTATAACTTATTTTAACATATTCTAATCTTTTATGTTATTTTTGGCAGGCAGATAAAGAGGAAGACGTGAAGACCGCTCAGCGACACTTCGAGACTTGGAATTCGCTGTGGGGCCGGCCTGGACACGGCGCCCCTCGGGCCGGAGGAGCCAAAGGGAAAGGAAACCTCGGACGACTGCTCTACCAAGAGACTGGAGTGCTCTGGCCTGCCAGCGGGCAGAGAGTGCGGTAGTCGTGGCGGTCCAATCCTGTACAGGCGTCGCAGCTGTAATAAATACTTGCTATGTATTGCTTCATATGCTTTGTGTATCTTACTATAGTAAGGGGAAGCTTAAGTCCTAACAGTCAGGAGGCTGTTGAATTGCTGAGATCGACAATATTTTTTTTTTACGTCCGTCCTTGTAATTTATTAGTTTCGATTAGTCAAGTTTATCCAAAGCCACTACATTATGCAAAAGGATGTCAGTGGCATAGATTTTCATACTGAATTATTATTCAGATAATTATAGGATGTCTTATTTTTAAAAGATGTAAGTGATTGATACTGCTTTATATGCATTTGTTTAAAATATATATAAAGAATATATTATGTTGGGCCTAAAAGAATATTAATTAATTTTGATTCTTTGCTGTTAGGCTTTTATTCCAAATTAAAGAATGGATCTAGCTATCAGTTGCAAACAAATAAATTTTAGTTGAATCTAGTTTATAATACTAATTAAAAAAAATTAAAAGTATATATTTATATTAGTGTTTTTTTCATTCTTTTTAAACTTGCAAAACTTTTTACATCTGACGAAAATGTTTTGTTCTACTAACTTTTATGAACAAACGTTTAGTTTTGAATAAGGAATTCTTTTAAAAGTAAAATTAGGGCCATTCACCTCTATAAATTAGGGCATATAGAAAATATAATATTTTTAAAAACTTAATTATTTAGTTAAAAATTTTGGTCAAGGCGGCGGAGAAAAATATAAAAGAATACAAAACAAAAAATTGCCGATTAATCTAAAAGATTTCCTCAGACCTAACAACAACATAATACCAAAATTAAAATCACATACATATCAAATACAATACATTCATAGAACATATATAGATATCAAAATATTTCCTGCATATGTATTAATAAAATACATTAGTATAGATATAGAAATCAGTTACTTGTAAAAGTTGCACTGCATAGACTTTTTCAATAGGTTTCTTTGAGCATACCACAATTTATCAGTTTCAATATTAAATTCATTTTCAGCAGTCTTTTAATAAAAACTATTTTACTTATTTTAATTCCATTTTTTCTAAGTAAGAACATTGTTGTTAAATAACTATGGAAAATGTTTTAAATAACTGTTTATCATCACTGTTAACTAGAGATCAAAGAATTAATAAGGTGTATAAACAAAATGACCGTTTTTCAATCAAGTATTTGTATTATTATTTATTTGATAAAAATTGCAATTAATACTCAAAGTATAGTCGATTATTATCTACCGTCATTAGCCAAATGCTCGATCCCACGTTGATATGATTCTTTAAGATGGACGTCAATGAACTCTAGAACCGCAATATCAACTTCCTCAAAATTATCAACTTTTTTCCCTTGAAGAAAATGGCCCATGGACCTAAACAAGCTGTAATTCGGTGGTGGTATTCGGATGGGCTAAAGAGTGTGCACAGCACCACGAGTTGAGAAGATTTAAAAAGTACGAGTTCGCGTCCCGGTGCCGGAGTGGATTTTAATTCCCCGCCCTCATCCCCCGACCGGGAAAATCCCGTATAGCCTAAAAAGCAAGGTAGGGAAGAAAAAAAAAATCTTGAATTTAATAAAACGGTCATTTTTTTATACACCCATTAGAGTTTTTTTCAACTGTTATTTTTGAATAGTATGAAATATAGAGGCTTCCTTATCCCTATAAAATTAGAATGTACACCCTACTGACTCATTAAACCCAGTAAATATGTGTCATCTAAAAGTGATTTTTGAACCTCTAAAATACTCAAATTATAAAAAACTTCTTGTTCTTTGTCCATTGGATACTTTGATACCCTAATATGAGTCGATTATCAATTAAGTTTAATTATATTTCTCGGACTGTTACCCCAACTTTCTCCCAGTCCTAGTGTAATAATTATTATCTCATCCTAATAGACAAGATTAATAGGACGGAATTGCGCGTTTAACGCATTAATCGCACTCGAACGCATACCTTTCATCTCATCCAGTTACCAAGAGATTATTAGCTGCAGTTAATTTAACTATAGCTTGTGGGAAAGAGAGAGCTTTTTCATTTGGAGCGCTTTTCGAACGCGTAAGCCACGATTATGAATCTCATCTAGCAAGACTCTAAACCTCATATCTTATGATTAAATACTTTCTTCGGAATTTTTTTATTATTGATCTTATGAGTTTATATCACGCCTCTACCCTCAAGGGTCATCGGCGTTTTACTGCAATTTATATTCTTTTTTTGATACTCTGTTAACTTTTAAAAATATTATCAAAGTAGTGACTCGTTCTTCAGTATCTTGTAGGATTTCTCTTAATGTTTTGGCTAGGCCTGTTTTTCTTCTGTAATTTTCAAATTGAGTACATTCTTCCAGTAAGTGTTTCACTGTTTGTGGAACTATATTGCATTTTTGACATGTGGGCACTTTGAGTCCTCTCAGAAGATAGCAAAGCATAACTTCTTCTATCCTTGAACTTCTGTAGCTTGTGATCCATTTGCCCCTCTTATGAGTTATATTGTTGTAATTATCAATTTTAACATACTTTAGAATATTAAATATTTAGACTTTTTTCTGTCCAGTATTGAAGAATCAATTGTTTTTTTGTTGAAGTAGGGATGTCGCAAATATGAGTCATAACTAACTTATAGTCTTACCTAATTATTGTTAAATTAATAATCTTTTAGATACAAATGTGATTGTTTTCATTCCTTCTATTTTAAGGGTTTTAGTTCGTGAATACATAATTAATAATTTAGTAATTAAGCCTTAAATCATCGTACGTTTCACGTGTATTTCAGAAATAGTTAGGTGCTAAAATAAAAAAATGTTTTTCATAAGCGTTTCACTTATGATTTATCTTTCATGAACCAACTTGTGAGAAGTTGGATAATTTTTTATAATTTTATTAAAATATATTTTTACTGGAATTAGTCACGTGTAAATATCTTTAAAAAATTTCTTATCTTTATTTAATTTATTCATATAAGGTTTTTTATCTCTACATCTGTCTATATTCTACAAATGTAGGGTTCATAAGTCAATCAGTGTTTCTTCATTTTGCTGAAAATAACTTATATAACCGCTATCGTATATTAAAAACTTTAATTTAAATAAAACCTTTTTATTTATAACAATGTGTGATTTTAATATCAATCTCTTCTCCGGTCGAAAATTAACTTTTTTTCGGTTATGAATATCTATTTAAAAATGAATATTGTCCGATTTAATTATATACGTTATTATTTTATTTTTGTAGTGTGTTGTAATTTTATTTGACCACTAAGAAATGCCTTGTCTTCCAAAAGGTAGCTTTGTGCACTTCCTAATTGTAATAAACATGTCTTAAAATTTAAAAATGGAAATATTTTATTTTATAAATAACCATAATCCGACAAATGAAAATTATTTTATTCCAACACATAGGACACCAACAGATTTAATTATTATTAATTATCATTTCTAAAAAAAAATGAATTACTTCAATTACTTGAATTATTTTCATAAAAATGCAAATATTTCGTTAGTCACTTAATACAATAATGATGAATTAACTGTAATGGAGATTTTATTTAAAAACTCCTTCATTATCACTCTATATGATTAAATATTTCAATAAGCATTATTTTTGAACAATTTTTTTTATTAATAAAAAGCTTTTTTTTTTTTAAATTATATTTAATATAATGAGCTTACAGATAAAAAATCATAAATACCCTTTAAATAACAAAAGGCCTATTTATTATATCACTGGTTGATTATGGATTGTACGAATATTACTTATAAAACTGTTATTTTCTATTGCAAAGTAAAATGGAATTAAGAGATTTGTATTGTCTGTCATAGACACTTCAAAAAGTTGTCACACTAATTGTAAGTGGATACTGTTGGAATATTACGAAGAAAAAAAATTAACAAATTATTCTCTAATTTAATTTTCTAAAAGGTTACATGATGATTTTTTAGGAATAAACGGACGATAGAGATACCTTATTATTTAAATATAATTTCTTATCTTGAGTTATAGTAAATATATTTGAGGTTATAAACATATCCATGAAATATTTTTATATTTCACTTCTTCTTTCACACAAGTACAATGAAATAGTATTTTAAGCAACGGCATTGGCTTGATTTGGTGGATTTTAAATACTTTTTCAAACTTAGAAAAACATTTAAAAGTTAAAATATAGTAAGAAAATTTCATTTAATTTCCTTGGAAACATGTAATTTACGTTAGATAATGTTACTCTTCTTAATTTATTGTTTATATTTTTTTCTTCATTCTTCGCAACCTTCTACAACCTTATTTATTTGATATTATTTTTCCTAAAATTCTCCGCTTTCCAACGATATATTATACGTATATCTTGTGGCTGTTATTTCTGGAGATTCATTTTCAACCGGCATAAGCATTTTTCTCCATTTTCCACTTATCACATTCTTTCAAACTTCATATTTAGAAATTGTTTATAGTTACTTTAAATTGTTTATAGTTATAGGTAATTTAGAGGAAGACGTATATGAACATTGGGCATTTAAGCCCTGTAAAGTGACATCAATCTGAATAAGACCTAAATGATATTAAAAACCACTTAATTAAATCGTTAGAGCCGTTTTTGAGAAAATCGTAGAAATGTGTTTCACCTGTGATATAAAGTGGCACCTCTGGCTAGCCGATATTTAAGAAAAAGTTGCTGTAACATCTGAAGTATAAACAAACCTTAAATATGAAATTTTAAGGTACTTTTGTACGACTTTTCGTTTTTGAGGTAGACTGTTCACATACATAACACACCCACTTTTTATTTCTTGAATGAAAAAAAAAAATTATATAATAAAACCTTTTGAGATTTATTCACAAATTATTCAAAATAGCCCCAAATGAAAGATATTATCAGATACCTAAATAGAACAAGCAAGAACAGAATAGATGTACGGAGTTGCCTAGGTGACATCTCTAGGTGTCAAGCAGGCCAGTGTGTCACTCTCAACGATGTTGAAAATGTCAACACGTTCACAGATTGTTTTCAACCCTAATATGGACACTTTTATCAAGGTTATGCTCATATTTTTTTTTTTTTTTACTATTGCTTCGCTCTTTTAAAATTATATCAGTTAACTGTTTTCTAGGTTTTGAGGCTATATTCTCACAAGCAACCTTTTCCTGCTGTATTCTTTTTGAATATTTTTTATACGATGTTTATATTTTCTGATATATTTTCACAGCATCATTGTATTTTTTTTTTTGCGATGTGAGCCAGCTGAGGACAGCCCATATATAATTATTTCTTGACTTTCCTTTTGGCCCAAACTTTCTTCATATTTTCACCCATTACCTCTTATCGTTCTTTTGTCCATTTCCTTCCTTCCTCTCTCCTCTTTTATACTCCAAGAACCTTTATCTTATTCACGGTTCCTCTGAATTTATACCCATATAGATATTCCTTTTTTTTATCCCGTGTTACTATTTCTTCATTTATCTGTTCAGGGCATGCTTTGATGGTCTCAATCCCATTCATTCACTCACACTCACAAACTGGTACTACAGTCCATATACAGCTTACTACAGTCCTGACCTCCATCAACAGCTTGCTCCATTCAGCTCTGCCCGTAGCATATCTTCTCCAGCGGTATACACCTAGAGTCTTCAGGTCTGCCTCGACATCATCCAGCCATCGCAGTCGAGGTCTCCTCCCCGCTTTCGTCCACAACCTGGCTCCTCATAGAGTAGTTTTTTAAGGGATTCTACCAGTTTATTCTCTTTATATGTTCCAACTACCTTAATTAGCTAGCCCAGCTGGACATAGGAGACGATGTCTCCCTCTCCAAAAAACAATCTCATTACTTTGTCAAATATCTGTTTGTTTATCCTATCTTTACTCTTGTCGTTTTCATTTTTTTTGTTTAAGTTCGTACTATGAAAAAAAAATTAAATTGAAGAAGCGAAAAGAAAGTTAATAATCTTAAAGTATTTAAAGAAGCAGATAATGAAATGTAAATTTCAATCATTAGGATTTCCATGCCCAGTGAATATTGACACCTCATGTATACATTAGCACCTGTAAATTGTGGACAGGTTTTATGCTCACTGTCACACGATTGTAGTAGGTATATAAAGTCGATGAGTGTTTCTCTTATTCAGATATAATTCTGTTTTATTGAAAATTAATACATGCTTCTATACTTAACACCAATAATTATTATGGTTATGAATATCCATTCACACTATTTACACATAGTAAAATTTGTATGAAGGGTTTCCTTAACTTCTAATTTTCTATGGCCTCCTTCCATCCTTTTCTATCCATTCTTTTTACAAACCATGTTCCTATATTAGATTCGGACGTTTTCAAGTTCAATGAGATAGACGTTCGTTCCAAGTTTTTCTTGGTCAACTTCGTCTTTTTAAACCAGTTTTTCAAAATTAACTTCTCTTGGTAATATCTCATTCTTTTTAATGTTCATAAGGGACTTTTTTCAACCTCTTCTATAAGGATTTTTTTACCTCAATCTTTTCTCGATTTATTTAATTTTTTATTTTATACATTCTGGATATTTTTTCGTTTTTTCGCCAGTAATTCATTTCAGTTACTTTCATAGTATTAATCCATTACAGGACTTTCTTCTCTTCTGGTCCAAGTTTCTGCCCCATATGTCACAACGCTACATACAATACTTGTACATCATATCAGTACTATCATATCTAAAACCAAATGAAATCTATAAATTTAAAAAATAAAATTATAAGAATTATGATAATAATAATACATTAACATCATTTATATATATATATTTAATAGATTGATAAAGTAAATAATAGTAACGTAAGAAAACAAACAAGTTGAAAACAATTATAGTAAAAAAGTAAAAGTGTTTAAAAATAAAATAAATAATGTTGGACACATTAATAAATAACAAATGTTTCTATGTATAACATTTTTCCTGGAGAAACTAGATTCCAGGAGATTCCTTATCTCCTCGGTGCGCCACTTGACTTGGAAATAAAATCCAGACTAGCCTGAGATAAGAGAACTTGAGTCGTTCGTTAAATGTTTTAGAAAAAGTCATAAATCATAAGATTTTTACTATTTAATGAAGTATTTTAATGAAAGTTTTACTCATAATAAAACATTTATGATTTTTGATCTTCGTGCTTAATGTTTTTGAGAAAATTTTAAATTTAAATAACTCCTTCATGCATATTCTATGAACGTTCTGGTGAGATGATGTTGGAATCGTATATATGTGCGTTTGTTAATGTTTGTACAGGTGTTGTCATTCTTTATTTGATTTATCAATGAAAGAAAAAAAAAGTGCCTCGATATTTTTTTTTAGAATAATTCCATACATTTTTTCGTGAATTTTAATTTTTAATAAATAATAAAAATGCTTATTTCTCACTCCTTATAAAATTTATTACGAAATTTGATTTCATTGCTCGATTTGTTACCAAACACCCTTCTACACTTTCACAGATATTTTCTTAAAAGTGCTTAGTCTAATATGATTTTATTAGTTACTATCACATCAATATTATATTGAAAATAAATCAGATATGTTTTTTCATTTAATCATTTGTTGAAATTTATATCTTTATAAATAAATACGGTAAGTAAATTTGCTATAAGAATATAAAACATTGTAGAAACTGGTAAAGAAGCTATCCATTGTTAGCACTTATGTGACTTAATTAATTTAGCAGATCTCTTGGCCATCTTCTTTTCAGACGCCTCGGAAAGTTGTTAGGAATTATGTACCAGAGGTTTAGAGTGACCAACGAGTTTGGAATCAAAGAGGAATATCTAATTAGTTGAGGTATTTTTGGGTGATTTTATTTGTGACATAAGAAGAAACTTTAAGGGAGATTTTGGATTTGTTAGAATTGGAAACGAGGAGAATTCCATTATCAGATATTTTAAAACATGGACAATTTCAGGTAGCATACTTTTCTTTTGTTTTTATCCATTATTTTATTTTATTTTTTCTCGCCAAAACCTACTAACGCCAGGTACAATAATCGATGTGGTTCTCCATAACGGTCCATATGTATAACTGTATGTAAACTTGAGTGTACAAAATCTTTAGCCAAAGAGCATTGTGTGTTAATTAGAACGAACAATACCGAAACATTTACTCATGTCGTTCGTGCTTAAAGGTCAGCTGATGGTGTTAATAGTATTTCTGGGCATACGTTCACATATGATTTAAAAGTGGCAGCCCAGAATGGTAAGATAGTCATACAAGACCGTTAGTTAATGCATTACCTCTCTAGTATAGTAATTTGTTTTTATTCCAAGTCATGTGAGCTCATTATTCATAAGACTTTGAGCAGCTTAGTAAAGTTTCGATCTCCTTCTACAAGGATTTCCATTAGTACTTTTTCTATTTTTGTCATCCAAGGCAATGCTTGTGTCCATACATGTCGCGTAATATTACTGAGGCTTTTACAATATTATTAGAGTAAAAAAAAAATAATATCGAAGTACGTTGACAGCTAATAGCGTTTTGAAGTAAAATAATTTATTGTAAGAGATGACAAATTTTAACTTTTTTTTTTGTTTCAACCTTAAATGATCACTTTAGCGAGTTTACTGGCATTAACGGTAATCATGTCGTAACAAGTTATAGACTCCGCATTAATAGAGAGTTTCATGAATGGGAATCGTGAGCGAGATTGCCAAGTCTTGGTTGGGAATTTATTATTCAATTATAGTAGGCAATTCAGTTTCATTGAACAGGTTTGCAGCTTGAGCTGGCATAATGCATCCAGTTATAACAACGATTATTCAACATTTTCACAAACTGCTGCCAATAATCGGTTGAGTGTTCCAGTGCGTGTTAACTGCAGGTTCCGGAACGTCTTAACTTTCTCCGGTCACTTAATATGGATGATGTGGTTGCGTAAGTCAGAAGCCTTCCGAATAAATATCAAGTATATGGTTTACACGCCGTATGGTTATTTCTTTCATTTATACAGATAAAGTAAAATGCAAAAAAAAAAATATAAATAATATAACTCGGTGAAAATTATTTTCGAAAGATTTTGCGATTTCTTATAAAAATAAAGATATCATTACTAATTATTATGAACAAATAGTACAGTTTAATAATGTTCGTATATCTTATTACCCATCCGTTCATATTTTTATTGTATTAATTAATCCGAATGATTTTATGTTTTGAACTATTGTTTATTAATTCTTTTTCTCAATATATTTTACTTTATTTCCTGAGGTTTAATATTTTGTAAAGAAAATTTAAAATCAGCGTTCAACTCTCTGTTGGCTAAAGTAGTGACTACTACACCTTTTTAAATATTTTAATATTGATATATATTAATAAAGAGCGATATGTTTAATAATAATAAAGAGCTTTCATTTAATGACAGGTATGAATGTATAACATGAATAAAATTAAGAACAGAGGACTAACATATCATAGCGCTACTTTTTGTTTATTTTTTCAGATACCCCGTCCATTGTACTCGCTATCATGAGAAACAAGGTTACTATATCGTGGAATTCCTGTGAAATCTACGTGTCTCATGGAGGGTCAGAAATGTTTGTTAAAACAATAATAATGTGTTTTTCGGACTCAGGGGGCTCTGAAACGTATAGATCCGTCGAAAACCGCATGTCGGAAATTTGGCCCGATTACAATACTTTCCTGACCTAGTGTAGGTCAATTGTTATACCAATACGTTATAGTTACCAGCGAGAAAAAATAAATTAATATTGAAAAAATAAATATGTCAAATTGGGATAATATTTAAAAAAAAAGAGCAAAGCGTCATAAGTGATATGATTTTTCATTTACTTGACTACATTATTTTTTTATCTCTATGGAAGATCGATTGTAAGAATGAACAAGGATACATACGTAATGAATTCTAAATTCGATTCAAAAAATATTTAAACCCAGATGGGTTTATAGTAGGTTACGTAATATACAAAATTGTTTCTTGATCATTGTTCAAAAATAAAAGATTTTCTTCATTTAGAGCTCTTAGGTCCAGTTTGTTTCATAATTATTATGCGAATTCTTAATCTAATAATTGATGAGATTTATTTTGAGAGGTTTTATTGGTGTCTCTGAAAGCAATGTTATGGTTTATCCAGCAAGTGTGATATATTAGTTCTACTTATTGAGAATGTGCGATAGACACGTTGAATATCACTACACTTCGAATAATTGAGTCCACTCTACGATTTCCATACTTGCTCTATCAAGAGGAGATATATTTGGTGATTTATTGGCATGTTTTCAAGAAGTTAGTGTGATGAAAGAAATATTTCTTTTCCGAACTTTTACAACCAAAAAGTCATCTTACCTCCTTGATTTGTTTACTCCTTGTTCCTCTGTCTATTCGTTCAACACGAGAATTCTTTGTCAAAATTTGAGAATCCTTAAAAAATCCTTTGTCATGCGTGCTACCTTTTTCTCGAATTCATTACCTGTCTCCATACGCAAATCAGCTTAAACACATTTAAACAACAATTATTCTTCCACCTCCTAAGCAATTAATCTTCCGACTAGATGTACGAACACATTTCGTATTTAAGAGCTGACACCTTCATTTCACAGTTATGTTATTGTTACTCATATATTAACAATATTGTTAATCAGAACAAATATGTGAACACACTCATAAATAATTATGTGCAAATTAATATGTTTACTTAAACTTTATTTTATTGTAAGGTTGGATTTTTATATTATGATAATTAATTATTTTTTAT